ATAATATTATATGCTTATACAACTTCTTATTGCAATATTATTCAAATAGGTTCTCTTTACCAATATCTCTAAACCAGATACCTGGCTTCTTTATTTTATTTGAATTAAACCTTGCCTTGTACAGTACTGTATGATTACAGAAACCTATTAAAAAAGAAATTGAGAGTTCAAACTTGTTTCTTTACTAATAACATTTTCCTTATTAGACTCACTTAATTTCTTCAAGCTTTTTTAAAGTACACTCTAGTACCAGCCACCTAGCTTCTGTAGTTCTTTGCTTGGCGTACTAAAGAACAAAGATTAGATCTTTGGAATTGGTGCTTATACCACATTATTTGTTACATACAATACTAATTTTGAAGACACATACTATAAATTAAAAAATCAGATGATAAGATCCATAAATTAAAAATCAGATGATAAGATATATAAATTAATTAAGCAATTTAAAGCTAAATTTAAATAATATTGAATAATCAAGTAAAAAAAAGTTTTTAGCAATATAGAAAATCTAAACATAGTTGCTTAATATTACTTCGCATTCTTATTCTAAAACTATTGCTTATATGAGCCATATTTATTACATTCGCATGAGGTATCAATTATTTGTTTTACAGCTGTTTTCATTATTCCTGGGACATCTATAAAAAATTAGCCGAAAAAAATTTTCGGCCGGTAATTTTTTCAGCATAATAAATTCAATAAAAATTGATATAATACTGTAATATATACGTAATAAAAAATTATACACATCTATCTTTAATATATTTAATTTATAACGTAGATATTATATCAATATTACAGTAAATTAAAATTGATCGAATTCAAAAATATATTTTTTTATATACCAATCATGACAAAAAAATTACCGGCCGAAAATTTTTTTCAGCTAATTTTTTATAGGCATCTCAGGAATAATGAAAACAGCTGTAAAGCTTTTAGCATTAAAAATAAAGTGGCTATTTTTGGACCAATTTTTAAATTTGTTGAGAATTCATTGCTTGATATTCAAAAAATGCAAAAATATAAAGTAATGCTTGAATGACCTTTATCAATAGATAAATTTTTGAAGAAAAAAGGCAGTTAATTCATTCATTTCCCGACTAATTAAAATTTTATATTCAATCAATTGAATGAGGTGCTTGAAAACACCCTTATACAAATAAATTAGCATGTTATCTTCGGATGAGGTTATTTCCTGAAATAGTATTAGCGTTGATATTTTATCTTAGCAATTTATTAAATAAATGCCGCTAAGAAAAATAGCACTTCAGACTTTCAATTATAATTCATACCAGATAAATCAAATAGATTGTGTCTGATACAAAATATGATTAAAAGTTTGAAGTACTATTTATTTGGCAGCACTCAAATAAGTATTCTATTGTCTAAGTGTTTTAATATCCTTACATAGTCAAATATATATATATTCAAAAAATTTTCAATCGAACATTAGTTAGATTTACGTTCTCTGATTGGTTACTTTTTGTGTTACTGGTATTACGGGTATTATTGGGTATATTTATAAAGCCCAAACCCGGCCCAGTAGTTTATAGACCCAAATACATACCCGGCCCAAATTATAAAACATAGACCCAAACCCGTTCCAAACTCGGCCTGACCCGCAAATTTCTGGGTTTAGCCCGGCTCATTCCACACCCTAGTTTACTGTACATTGTCAAAATGATCATAATACAAACACTAACCATTTATACAGTAAATAATGTATGGTTTGGGTTGTACCAAAAAGGCTTAGCCAATTAATTGTCCAACAGCCAATCGATTGTAATATGATCAAATCTAATCAAAAATCTCATGAAAAACTATGTCTGTGTAATAACCCTCTTGGTTTGCTATTTGACTACCTTCCGCAACAATCTTAATATCTTGGTGGAAATGAACTTGTAAAAGAGCAACATATAGCTGACCATGAGTAAACACGAGATCTGCAAGGTAAAGTCCAAGCTTTGAAATCGTTTGACCCTGTGCTTTGTTGATTGTTAGTGCAAAGGCTAACTTGACCGGAAATTGATATCATCACAACTTGAATGGGAGTTCTGTATCGGATAGTTCAAGAATTATGTGTGGAATAAAAACATGCTGTCTAGTACAGGAGCTAGTTATGATCTCTGCATCAAGGAAGTGCTGTTGAAAAGCACAGATAATTAGGCGTGTTCTGTTGCATAATCCTTTTTTTGCATTTAGGTTGCGAAGTAATATTATTGGTATATCTTTTTTGAATACTAACTTGTGAGGTGGTACACTATTAGGAGAAAGTGTATTAAGAAATTCAGGAAGATAGAGCTCACTGTTAAGACCTTCAGAATCAACAACGAAGTCAGCTAAACTATATGTTCTTGCTTCACCAAAAAAGTTAGACAAAATCAGATCATTTATCTCATCAACACTCCAGTTTTTAGTTGTGAGAATTGCGCATTCTAATATATATTGATAATCATTTTGCTTAGTTCTAAGGTCACTATAGATGTGAGTTATTAGTGCTTGTAAATTGCTATGAAGTATTATATCATCAGGTAAACAAATATAGTCTTGACTAATGTTAGGGTAAGTGGTTTCCTTGCCCTCTCCAATTCAGATAAGATAATCGGCAAATTCACGATTTTCAGCAGCTTTAAGCACATGCATCTGCTAAAGACACATGTTCTTTGTAAGTGATATTAACAGAATTGAATCCCAAAGATATGAACATTTGAGACTTGCATTAACAATTTGCTGCTATGATTCGCGAAGAATAACTAACCTCCAAGTACTATAAGTTTTCCTCCGAAAGGTTTGTCAATGCCAGTAATATCATGCAATAACCTATCAATAGCCTCGAAAGCAAACTTATGAGTCATGGAAGCTTCGTCCCAAACTATCAATTTTGACTCTAGTAAAAGACGGGCATGGTCAAACTGTTTTGATAGATTGCATGTTGAGGTTTTATCTAGCTACAAAGGAATCTTTAAACGGGAATGTGCAGTTCGACCACCCATAAGCAACAGTGATACAATTCCTGATGAAGCAAGGGCTAGTGCAATATAATATCTAATATGAAAGTAAGCTAAAAGGATGGTATTAAAAAAAGGCTTTCCAGTGCCACCAGGGCCATTAACAAAAAAAATGTTGTGTTTAGGATTCGATTGCTCTGCAGCTTCTATTACAGCATCATACACAGCATGTTGTTCATCATTTAACAGAGAAACTCCCTCAAGAATTCTTTGTAACTCATCCTATAAAAAGAACGATTCTTCTACAAAAAGCTGTGTTTGCCTATTAATTTTAGTAAATCATGCTGTATAGTAGATAACTTAGGAAAGTCCGTAAGATACTTTTCATATTGTCTAAGGTAATCTTCAATTTTAGCCAAAGCATGACTTACAATTAATGGATCCTCTGGTATGGTATTTTTACTATGCTGCCGTGCTTGATATATAAAATCTTCTGTTATGTCAGGCAGATAGGTATTCCAAAGACTTTTAATATCTGATAGTTGGCAATAAATTAATATTGTCACGAATAAGAGGTGTAATTGTAAAGGCATCCGAAATAGACTTGCTTCATATAAACAATTATGCCATTCTTCATCACTTTCCAAAAGACCTAATTGCTGCACTGCTTGTTTCAATGTTGGATATGTTATACCATTAACTGTGCACAGACTCTCAAATGATATAGGGCCACAGATGTGATATAATAGAAGACGCAAGCAAAAGCGTTCTGAGTCAGTTGGAGAGCAAAAATAAAGTTTACCAATCACTTTACTTCCACTTCTTTTTTGACGTATCCAGGCTCCTTTTACTCAATGAAAGAACTTGGGAAATTCTAAGTATAAGAAGTTTGTAGCTGTTGAATCTCTTCTACAAACCTCAAAAAACTTTGTGAGTTTTGAGTGTATGACCATGAATACAATATTATTTAGGTTTGATTGTACATTAAAAAGAACAAATTGTTGGTTTGGTAGATGCACTTGTAATCTTTCTACGCGATGTGATCAGCCAAAACATATCGAGCATCTAGATATACTTTGATTTCATTGTGAGTCACATTCTCAGAACTGCCATTATAAACAACAACTAAGGCCCGGTCATGCTCTTTGTATACATATTTGTATAAGTACTTAACTGACGTTATAGTAGAACAAATTTCTACATTAACATGACAGTCATACTTCTGGCATAGATATGGATTGTACAGTACTACCCATCTATTTTGATTTACTATTAATTAATGTCTATTCTTGTATAAAAAAATAGAAAACAGAGCACGGAGGCTTTGGGCATGCCCTACAGGGCATGTCTAGTACATGCCTTAAAAAAATTGCAATACCAAATCAACCGACTAAAAATTCTATGGGCATGCCTTTAAGCTAAAGCTGTGCTCTGTACTCTAGAAAAAGAGATAAATTTACTAAAATACCTGTTATCTAGCATACAACCTTTCAATTGAATAGTGTACTTGTTGTCCCGTCATCTATATAATGGATATCCATTTCTATCATTCTGGGTAACATTAGAAAAACACTTAGAATAGTTTTTTGAAAAACTTTATCCTTCATGCATGGAGTACTTGGTTCCAGACTACCACAAGGCCCATGCATCATATATCAGGTGATGGTTTCATAAAGCTGTGGCTGAGAAATTGGGTCTGGAATTTTGGTGGACACGCAAGTATGAGTAGTGTATGTGTGTGAGGAAGACCCCTCTTCTGAAATTCTATAACACAAATGATACAACTTTTTCTAATATACTATTCTTAATAAGGTCAATTAAAATAGCTTTTAACTTGAGATGGAAAATGCAAGCAATGATGTTAGGCCAATTGTTTGGTGTCTGATTATTATAAAGTTTAGCAAGAATCTCTAGCCAATGTGGGTTGCACGTGACTGTAATAAATAGACTCAGCTTCCCAAATTCTCTCACGATCGCCATTGCATCCTGATAATATTGACTTATATACCAAAAACTGCCAGTAAAAGATGCAGATAAAATAATTTACCTTCATATATTGCTAAGATTTTGAAAGTCATTTGCTAATGCATCTGCAAATCCTTGGTAAAGCTCAGCATGAATTGTTTGTTGGTTTATTCTTTGCCAAAGAAGCCAATTTTGTTCAATCTTGGCATATTGGTCAACAATATACTGATAAAAAAAATGCCCAGCATGATGTATTATGCTATCAGTGGGACTACGTATATGTAAATGGTATGCAGCATAGTCTCGCATTGTAATATGACTTCTTTGACTTCTTTGACTTCTCTGCTGAGGCTGGCTCAATTCTTTATCTGAGTTTCTACCCGTAAGGTTAATTTCATTTTCAAGAGCATCACTTATAGGATTACGATGGTTTTCTGTACAATTATAGCTAGAACTTGTTGAATAAAGAATACCGGGATGCTAACCAAGCTGGCTATATGGAAATAATAATGGATATTGAAGTGGGTCATATGCAGCATGACATTCTGATATTCGTTGTAATTGGCCTTGAGTAGTGCAGAGGAAAATGTCATAACCACTGTCAGTATTGTTATCAATTAACAAAACTGCTATTTCATCTGCAGTAGACCAGTTATAACGCCTTATATCAAAACCTTGGCCACTCAAAAGTCTTAACATAATTGGCTGACCTTCATGAATAAATTGGTCAGCACTTCGGAAAACTTGAACAAAAGGATTATACATATGGAGGTCTTGCTAGATATCTGCCAAAATATCATAATCTAAAAAAGGAAATACAGTATGACGGCATCTCAATTCGGTATCAAAGCTTCTATCATATATATATATTTGTGATGGTATATGATCTTCACCAGGAAGCAACGAACCACTTCGGTGATAAAGTGCTCTCTGAAGATGGTAAGTATATATGCCATGGGCTCCATTCGCAAGTTCTGGGTCAATTGATGCTCCCATTGATGTGAAAGAAAATATAGAATTAAATGAACGAATTTGTTTCAGATAAGGTTCTTCTGTTGTAAGAGAATCTTGTATAAAAAGCCTCATAATTAACTCAGGTACATTGTCTAGTGGGGCTAAAACAACTTTCCCGTTATAACAGCAGTTGGTTGGAGACTCTATTAGCCAACGCAAAGCTTGACAGTGCTTACAGAAAATAGACATTCTAGGAAGTATATATCTGCCATTAACTACATATTTCCTATGCATAACTGTTGGCTCGAAATTATCAATTGTACTCCGAGCAAGATTATGATTAGTTTTGGGGTGTTTTTGGGTTTGAATAAGTAAGTGAACAGGTTCTGGTGAGTGAACTTCATAATGATTTCCTACAACTATATAAAAATCGAAGTTATATATTATTAATATATAGTATCAATAAAACTAATAATTTCTGAGCTAATAAATTATTAATAGAGTAAATGGCATGGGGTTTTTAGCATGCTATATCGGTATTTCTTCAGGTGTGCATGGAGCATGTCTTTTGAGGCAAAAGTAAGTCCTTGTCACATGATTATAAAGAGTAAGAGCAAAGAATTATTGCTAGAAAACATCTCTGGACACTTACCATTTCACGTGAATTTGTACTTATCAAGTTATATGCATTTATTATCATTATATGTATGTACGTACAAATTCATGTGAAATAGTAAGTGTCTGGAGACGCTCCCTTATTGCTACGAAATTTAATCACGTAATAATTGTTTAAGTGAATGCTAGCATTATATGGAAGCATGCCAAAACATAATCAGAGTCATGCCTTGGGCTGAAGTATGCTCTTTAAGGCATGCCAAAAAATTCTCTGTGCTATCTATTCTATTAACTAAACTTAATAAAAGCAGAAATCAAATCTAACAAACCTCCAATAGGGTTATTTGTAATTTTATAGACCATTATAGTAAGTTTTAACATTAAACTTTCGGGATTTTCTTCTTCGGTTTTTAGGAGTTTCTGTTTTATATCGTACATCTTGGCAAATATGCGGTGGAGTTTCTGGTCTGGTTCTTCTTCGAGTTATTTATTGTATTTAAATAAATTGCAGGATCTCTTTTTTCTTAGAATAAAGATTTGGTAAAGTTCTAACAAAAATGATTTGGTAAAGTTCTAGTAGTGTAAAGTTCAATAAACTGGATACGAAATCAAGTCCAAAATTAGTCACGTGGCATATCTCATCAAATATAAGATCAGAATTTTCAATTTCAAAAGGTATGATATTTTTTTGTATATATAAAATTGAAAGCTGTGATGAGATGAAAATGTCTAATAAATAGTGCAAAAGCTTTAAGGTTGATTATTCTCTAACAAACCCAATTTATATAATTTGTAATTAGGGTTCTGCGCTAAGCATTGTGTCATTAAAATATAGGGATAGTATATGATTTAAATTGCAATATTATAAATCACTGATTTTTTATTTAAATCAATTTAAAGCTGATTTAAATCTTTTATTACGTAGCGTATTGAGAAAATATAAAATATGGACAGATCTTAAATTTTGATCATATTAAAATAAATGATATTAGTTAAATTTTTTTTAAAAAAATCTTCAAATATCGAAGATATCAGTTTATTTAATTATATCTAAATAGATTAGATTAAAATATGCTAAATACCGATACATAGACTACCTTATTGCAATGTAATCATATTTAGATATTATATGACAAAATGAGCACAATCCGCCTATATGAATATATTTTTGAATCGAAATAGCAATAGTTTTTAAAAAAATTGAATCCAAAGACTCAGCGTTTAAATTAAATACAGTATAATGTATTATGTAAATAGTAGAGGATAAATTGGATTCTAGGTAACTAAATATAAGCAAAAATTTACAATGAAGAGATAATTGTTGTGTTTGCCATATAAGCTGTTTAGCAGCCTTTCCTGCAAATTTTTACATATAGCTATTACAAGTATAAGCCTATTTTTGATAATTTTTATATTAAACACATGATTTACTAATGTTTTAAGAAGCTAAAAAATTAAAACTTTTTATTGAGCAGATGGCAAAGCTAGTAAGTAGATATATAATATTAAAATTCTGCTAATAAAGTAATTTATTTGCAATTAGAGTTTGAAACTGGGTTTATTTTTCATATAGTAAAACCGGTTTTAATTGGGTTTAATATATAAGAAATAATACTAGTAATACTATACTGTATAAAATAAAAAGATTCACGAAAATAATATAAATAAAAAGAAATATAATTTTTACTATCATACTGTTACAGAGTAAAGCCTTCTTAATTTACTCTATAATGACGACACGGCACAGGGAATCCTTTCGTAGGTATATGCGGTGTCCAAGAGGTA